TCGTATCTCGTATGCGTGAAATTTTTAGTGGGAAATTTCGCTACATAAGAACCAGAAACATTTCATATATTTTTGCACAGACCAAAATGCAAAGCTGTGAAAATCATTAGCAGGCAATCGTTCTGTGGACGGAAATTGCACATAACGTACGACCGCACCGGCTGCCCTCGCTATTTATTAGTAATTGCCTCTTTCGTCACTCATTCCTTTTATTAGCAGGTTGGTACCGGCATGCGCCAAGGAGTCAAAGTCGCGATCAGTTTGCTTCTAAGCAGCGCTCGTTAAAACAGCCATCGACAGCACTGCCAGTGAGTGATTACTGTTGACATTTGCTACCACTGGAGCTAGTCCGGAACGTTTCTGCCTGTTGCAGAGAGTGAGCAGCGGGAGTGTTGACTTTCTACTGTGAACGTATCTCACTCAAAACTTTAAAGTCAGGTGCGACTCGAACTTACTGCTTCTGGTATAAACAGAGAAAGAGAAGAATTAATCTGACGGCTAACAGATGAGGTATCGCTGGGACTCCACACGAAAGCAGTACTTTTCTCTGACATTCGTATCCTCAATGCTCGTTTTCTTGCAGCAAACTGGACTGACTGATATACTGGCTGTGGTGGGGAGTGAATTTTGAGGACAATTGGAAATTCAGGTCAACTTCGTTGTGAGTGCCCAACTGGCTGGCAATACCTTGTGCCTGTCGGCCCGTTGTGTCCCTCATAATAATTATCAAACTTGAACTGAACTTACTCCCTTACTGCACTCGCTTGTAAACAAATAGAGTGGTCGGGGTGAACATTTTACTAAATCTCAGAAGTGACCCGAGAGAACAAAGTGAAATACCACAGCGATGTTTGCCCTAGGCAAATGCTAGCGCCCGAAACTGATGAAGCCTTACTACTCGCGCCTGCTTGAACAGCTCGAGCATCTCTTTGGCTTGCCGGTCGACCAGTTCTGCGGTCTGCAGTCGTTCACGTTCCTTGCGTTGCTGTTGCAAAGTTTCCAGTCTCCTGTCCCGTTTTATCGTCAGGTGCCGGATGAGTTCTTCTTTATTCTTGCTCCCCACTTGACCTTTCTCATATCGGCGTGCGAAATCGGCCAATGCTCGCTCCCATTCCTCCTAAGCAATTCAAATTATTACAAAGAATTACAGAAACTTACAGCAAAATGTGCACTTCGAGTGCTGAAAAAAAAACAGTGGAATTAGCAACAGCATGGTCGCA